AGGAATAATAAAAGTAATAATAATAATAATAAACGACAACAACAAAAATATATCGGAACGAAAGGAAAAAAAATAAGCAAACACAACAATAGTTAGTCCCGCAGCGGCGTTAATGGGGAGGGGGGAACCCACCGAGGGGGGCTCCGGTACCCTCCGCCGCCTCCCGGTACCGGCTCCGCATCTCCCCGGCCCTTCGGTGGCGTCGGGATATTGTTAAATACAACCTTAGAACAAGCTAATAATAATCATAATAATAATTTTTTAAAAACCAAGCCGGTTCCAGCAGCCATTTTGAATGAACTTTCCTTGCTTTTAGGACCACCACCCCCCCCCAAAAAAAAAAAAAAATTAATAAATTTTACAATTTCTGGCTGTACACTTCTGCCTTTCATGCTTTTAATTCCCATTTTCTGCTGGAGGACTCGCTGGGAGCAAAACGGGGCGGGGGGAATACAAGCAACAGCAAACCCAGAAAAGCAGAAACAACCTACATTTAAATTAAAAAAGTGGTGGTGGGGGGGTGGGGAAAGAGCCCCTAAAGCCACCCAGCGCCCAGCCAGCCTGTCCGTGGCCCCCCCAGCCCCGATCCGCGGCGGGAGAGGGGGGAAACCAGGTGTTTTTTGGGGCTCTCCCGGCTTTAAAAGCCTCCCCGGGAGAAAGGCTGCGGGTGCATCTGGCTCCCTCGGCCGTTTAATAATTTAAATAAATAAATAAGCGTGGTCACACACACACACACGTATATAATATGTATATTTATAACAGGGAGTTCATTTTTTTTCTTTATATATATATTTTTTTTCCCTGGGTCTCGCCCACCGCTGAGTTTAAACCAACCCTACAGATAAACCGATAAAGAAATGGAACGACGTGATTTTTTTTTTTTTTAATTATGATTATTATTATTTTTTAACCCCCCCTCCACCCTCTCGTCTCCTCAGTGTTTGGAGGGGGGATTTTTAAAAAGCTCTTAAACTTCCCTCCGCTCCCATCGCAAAGGGCCTAGGAGCTGCTTTTGCAAGTCGCCCCGTTCGAGCAAGCGCTCGATGCCGTCGAGAAAAAAAGTTAAAATGGAAAAAAAATAATAATTTAAAAAAAATAATAATAAAAGAATGAAATAAAATCAAGGGAGAGAGCCGAGAGAAGCAGCCCCTCCGAGTTTTCTCTCCCCTTTTTACAGCGCAAGGAAGGGGAGAAGAGAAGAAGGCGGAAAGTTTGGGACAACTCTTCCCTGCTCCCAAACTCCAGGCAGAGATTTTCCCACCCGGCACAGGTTGTGCCTCGGGAATATTATTTTCCTCCTCTTCCTCCTCCTCCTCCTCTTCCTCCAGCTGGGCGAGGGACAGGGCTGGCTCTCCTTGCTCTGCCTCCAAAGCCGCACCGAGGGCCCCACGGAGCATTACCCCAGGTGAAGTTAAGCCAAACACCGTGCGGGAAAGACTGTCACCTTGTTAGAAACTTAGCCAGATGTTTGAAGCCCTGGTGGGTCAAGAGCAAGGCTGCGTCTCCGAGATGGCATGGAGCTGTAGAAATAAGGCTGGGAAGGGGCTTTCTGGATTTCTCCAGCCGGTGCTGCCCCAGCCAGTGGGTTGCTTTCCTCCTGACGGCACTTGTTTACTATTAAATAACCTTGAAGACATA